AAAAATAAATTTTTATATTCCAATGACTAGATGAAACATATAATATTATGTATAACGCGTGTTCGGTCTCAAACTCAAACATAGGTAAATAATGTTCAATGTGATTTTTAAGAATTTTGCCAATTTCTTTATTTCATTATTAAGCGGTTTACAAGTATATTATTTGTAAAAATGGGGTTTTGCGTAACTAGCACATGGAAAAAAGACGCGGCGTTATTTAGGTAATTAATTGTAAATAAATGTCAAATAAACCCATTACCAAGGTGGTTGAAGGAACACGCAAAACGAAAACACCTACGCATTACGATAACTATACGAAATATTTACAACAAGCAAAAAAACCTCCTGCTAACTTCAAGAATAGATCCGCTGTTGGGTATCCCTCTTCAAACAAGAAAAAGCAAAAAGGGAAAGAATCCGACAGAGGAAATTCAGGGAGAGGGTAGATATTATTATTCTGATAAGTAGTTCCGAGTCCAGCTCTCAAACTTCACCTGCAGGGAAAAGACGAAAAAATAAACAACCTAACAAATCAAAGTTTTTATTTTTCTATTAATACAATTAATATGGCTCAAAAACCTTAAAAAACTCCTTCTGCTTCTTTGCCATATCCAAGAAATCCCCTTGGATGGCCTCGGCAACAGAACCAAAATCAACTAGAATTTTAACACACTCAACATGCCCTTTCTTACACGCCCAATCTAATGCCGTATTACCACACATATCCACAAAATCCAACTCTTCTTTCAACCTTTCCAAAGCCTCACACTGTCCAAACATTGCAACCAAATGCTTAAAACTAAACCCAAAACTCTTCAACTTTCCTCGACTCAAATCAGAAGTTTCACAAACTTCCAAAAACTCAGCCATCTTCTTCGCTATTCCAACTCTCAAATCATCTTCACCAAGAAGTGACACCACCCCAAAATGCCCACCTTCAACAGCACAATCCACAGGTCTCCGTCCAAAAATATCACAAACATCAAGATCGGGGTTTTTGGTTAGGAGCAATTTAACAATTTTAACATTACCACGCATTGCAGCCAAATGCAAAGGAGTATAACCAAAACTATCCTTAAAATCAACACTCAAATACTTGGGGACAAGAAACTCAGTTGTTGCCTCGTCATTATTAAAAATTGCGCGACATAAAGGCAAAATTTTGTTATTGTCAGAAATATTAACATCAGCTCCACGTTCCAAAAACACTTGGACGACTTGTTGGTGCTTTTCGATAACAGCACGATGTAGGGGAGTTCGACCAAAATGATCGACTTCATTAATAGACCATCCTTGACCCAAAAGTGACTCAATTTGTTCCACTTGACCGGTAGAAGCCACCCAATGTAAGAGAAAATCAATATATTCATTAAATTCACTCATTGAAGTTTTACGATCGTTTTTTGCCCCACGATGCTGCAATAATTCACAAATTTTAAAGTGTTTCTTGGCGAAAGCAACACTCATTGGGGTATTACCCAACTTGTCACTTTTATCAATCGTGGCCCCCTTATCGAGTAAAGTTTCCACTAAACTGACATGACCAAAACTTGCAGCAAGTTGTAAAGGAGTTCGACCGAAATTATCAGCAAAATCAATATCAGCCCCAAAATTTATGAGAGTTCTTGCCAAATTTAGCAACCCTTTACTTGCAGCTAAATGTAAAGGAGTACTTCTATACCGGTCCATAACGTCCACACAAGCCTTACGTTTCAGAAGCAATTCTACGATTTCCTGATGATGATGCTCCACAGCTGCGTGTAAAGGACTCATTTTATTATAGGTACTTGTAGTAGTGTCAATATTGGCACCTTTATCAAGTAGAAGATTCGTATTGGCACAACTACCCGATTTTACCGCCAAATAGAGAAGATTTTCACCATTGCAATTTTCAATAAAAAGAGTTGAAGAAAATTGTGGAGTTTTTGAAGCAAGGTGAAGCAAATTCTCGTAACCAAATTTAACCGAATGATAAATCACTGAAACCAAATCAGTGGAGTTGCAAAGTTTCTTCAAAACCACACTGTGAATTTCCTTAAACTTGAAGAGCAGTTTTTCAAGGGCGTAAAAATTTGACAAGTTGAAAGCATAATCAATCAAATCCCAACCAAAAAGACTGTCTTTTTGCAACGGATCAATTTTTGTCTTTTTGACCAACAAATCAAAAATCTCCTTATTGTCACAGTCTTCCATAAACGATGTTTTAGTACAAAATTTGAATGTCTTATCTTCAGTGATGTGAATTTTGGGAAATTTCATGCCGTTACAGTACGACAAGTGCAAAACTGAACGTTTCAAAGGATCCAAATCGTCAAAGAAAGATTCATGTTTTTCCAACTCGTCAAAATTTTGGTACAATACCGAAATGTGGGCCGGATTATTTTTACAAATTTCTAAATTAAACATAAATAGTATGTTTTTGAAATCGTCACGATAGATAAACTCAAAATCTTTAACTTTATGGTAGTTTTCCGCCAACCAAATTGCAGCAAAGTAATCAGAATAAGTTTCTTGACTAAAAATAATCCCACCATCAGAACTCACTCTGAAAATGACTCCAATCACATCACCGCGACTCCTAATTTGACTCAGAAAAGTAGCATCACATTGAAGTTTCAATTTTTTGAAGTACTCCAAGTCCAAACACGAAATTGCAGCAAGTTTGTATTGCTCGTTCCTGTAATAAATTCCGTCTTCAATAATTTGGTTGTTATTGTTTTCACAAGTTTTGGACAAGTAGTGTTGGTATTTGGTTTTGATGAAGTATCGGTAGATTTCAGTCAAAATAAAAACCTTCTCCATTTTGGGATCATTGAGAAAAATTTCGGTCAACATATAGAGGTGCATAGGGGCACCCAAAATGTCATTATTTCGCAACATTTTGAAACTGAGTAAGACTTTTTCGACTTTTTGACGCTCTATTAATCTCTCCGTGATGTATTCTTTTTGCTCATCTTCGGTAAATTCTTGAATTTCCATCGCTGGTACTGCAAATAAAGTCTCAAGTTTTTCCTTCAAGTGATCTTCAGAAAAAACCCAAACTTTGTAATTCCGACTCAATTCTTTTATTCGGTTGCAAGTCTTGACAAGATTTTCATCATTTTGAAGATTATCAATTCCGCAAATGAAGTAAATCCAGCGGTTGACTTCTTTGAAGCAATGTTTCACTCTTGCTTCAAACTCATCTCCATCATCTAGTATCTCCTCCTGAAGATTAATTTTCACAGTCCAGTGACCTGGTGGTGCATTTTTCTTCAAAAATTTCAACATTGTTAACTTTCCCAAACCAGGACGAGCAACAATCAGTTTGATTTTTTCAGGAAGAAGTGAAAATAGTTGATTTTCGAGGAAAATTTGAAATTCACGCAACTTTTCCGCCTTTTCTTTACTGAAGAGTAATTGAAGATTTTCTTCGTCGAGAACTTTAAGACCGTGGACGTTCCTGTTTTTGTAGTCTAGACAATGTTTCAAATCTTTTTCATCGCGACAAAGAATAACAGTTTTGGGGGGAAGTTTACCATCCATAAAAGTTCTCGTCACGCAATCTTCAAACTTGCAAAAAGTGTTTTTTGGTAATGCTTTCTTCAAAATTTCTTCACGTCCCATGATTGCAAACAGGTCATTTGGGAACTGCTCGATTATCCGAATTTTCAAAATCGGGAAAAAGAGACGTCGAGGAATGTACGGTTTTGGTAAATCTTCTTGGGGTTCCCCAACCCGAAAATAGCCTGTAGCCATTAGACAAAGTTCCTTGATTGTAACAATTTTGCCAAAATTTTGATTCCATTTGGTCAATTCTTCAATGGTGATTTCTTCACGTCCTTGAATTGACAATTTGAAATCTTGAGTAATTTTTTGATAAAATTCTGTTTCCTTTAAATCGTCCAAATTTTCCAAAACGTTGAATGAAGAATCAAAATCGGATTTTGAAGAATCTCCAAATAAAATAAAGTTCAAGTGTTCGTCCCGCAAGTCATTTATCACTTCATATATCCCTCTTTTGTTTTCTTCAGTTATCTTGATGACTAGTGGAAAATCCTTCAAACGCCATAAAATGATACTTATCTTCTTTTCTTCGTGGAAATCAGCAACTAGTAGTTTTTGGCCAAGTTCAATTACTTTGTTTTTGTCCAAATTAAAACAACACAGCTTATCAATGTCAGCGAGTGTCTTATCAATGACCGTGATAGTGAAACTCTTGATAACATTTTGAAGAATCACAATTTTGGGATCAATTTCACTATCAAAATGTGGACTAAACTGGACGATAGAGTCACAAAGAAGAATCTCAGCTAGTTTCATTTTAATATCTTGTTTGTCCAATTTGCAAAGTTCGTCGTGCCCTTTTTTCCACTGTTGGAAAAAAGATTTCAACTTTTGTACAACACTGTCTAGATTTTTCTCGTCTAAATTAAACTTTTCCTCCAATTTCCTCTTAATGGCACTATCAATATCATTTCTATTCTTCTGTGATGTAAAAAACGTGATTTTATCGTCACACCCTTCATTACTCACTTCATAAATATGTTGACAGTCCTCACAACAAGTATCTAGACATTTTTCCAGAAAATTTAGCGTTTTTTTCGCTTTGATGTCACACCCATTGACTGTCATTTCTTCGTTTAAAACACCATTGGTGAAAAGCACAACGTGGTTACTTTTAGTAAAATCAAATTTGAAATATTTGCTCAAAACCATTTTACCGTTTTTTCCGAAATGGTTAGAGTTTAGAACCAATTTATCCTTGACGTGTTTCAATTGAATTGCGTATTTTTCGGTGATTTCAGTTGAAATATCGATAACTATGTCATCAAAAGGGTGGTAATGCTTGTCGTAAATGGCAATTTTGAAATCGTTGATTTCGTTGTTGTAACACAAATGGAGGCAGTAAAATAATAACATTGCTGTTTCAAATTCGTAACCCTCGTTTTCCACCCCTTTGGTAGCAGTGTAGGTCTAAAATACAATTTAAAAAATAAAAAAAACTGTAATTTTTCTCTTTACCTCGCGTTCTTTCAACATGGTTGTTGTTTTAGTCGTCTTCCACAATCATGTTCTAAAAAAATTGTTAATTTTTTGTGTATATGTTTTTTGCACACATTTTTGCGGATGTTTGAACATACACTTGTTTCTTTCTCATCAGAATAGCCGTAGTTGATAAGATTAAATAATATCTTTGGATTATCAATGGATATTTACGATAGGATAAACGGTCGAGATCAAAATCAATGAAAATAATAAATAACGAAAGATTGTAAACGAGATAAGGTCCATAAAAGTGTATTGAGTTCAATATTTTGTCATTGTTTTTAAATTGTGTTAATTTAAATTCTGACAAAATAATACATAAATAAAAAATCTAATTAATTATGTTAATCATTTGTTTATCCCGGCGCATCCACCATTTTCAATCTCTTTCTCTGCTTTTTCCAGGAGTTGACTAATTGAACTGATAAGTTTAGGTTGATAACACAATAAATTAAAAAAATAACATTTATTAGCGCAAATTAATTTAGACAATAAATTAATCAAGTTTGATAATTTGTCGTAATCGCAAAAAAATAATGTTTTCGATTCTTCTGTCCAGTAATAAAAATCTAATTAAGAAAAAAATAATTGAAAGTAAAGCAAACAATTAATATCACTTCACCACACCTTCAAAAATAATTTCACTTTCATTTATTGTTCACATAAAATGTCGTTAGAGTTGCTTTTCAAGTTTGGCAAATTTTTTGCCTTCACACCCATTTCTCCTCTCCACATCAAAGCCCCAACAAAAACTGAAAAAATCTGGGCTTTATTTATTATTATTTTCAACACTGTAACTTTCTCAATAGCGATGTATTACAGAGCCGGCTATTACTCACAATATATTCACTTAAATTTAGTGATAACAGCGATAGTTGACTGTTCTTTGTACATTTTGACTGTTTGTGTTATTATTATTTCGATAACACAACGATCTGATTGGTTTATTCTAATCCAAAGTCTTGGAGTAATTAAACGTGAAAACCACTGGTGGTTTTTAATATTAAATTTACTTTTCTGGATTGTGATAATTAACATGAGTTACACTTTCACGAAATTACATTCGTGGGAATTTTATAAAAAATACTCAAATGAATATTTTTTATTATACGTTCAGTTTCTCACAAGTGTGTTAATTTGTACGATTTTGGGGAAAATCAAGTCGAGATATAGTTCAATAAATCGTGTTTTGGGTTATCACATTTCCCGAGTGAAGAAATTCAGTAAACCCAACTTTTCTCTAGTTTTCTTTCAAGGCTTGAAATACGATTTAAGTGTGTTAAAAGACGGAATTGATGCTTTTAATGCAATTTTTGGGTGGCCAATTCTCCTAATTTTGATTTTCACAAGTTTGCAAGACTTAGCATACCTCGATAGTTTTTTCAAACTAAAAAATATACAAGTCATCTTATCCAACTTCCTCATGATGGCTACGATAACAGTAAGTGAGAAAATAACTCAAATTTTGAAATAATTTCAAATTTCAGCTAGAAATAGCAATTCCGATTTGGTTATGCGATTCGGTTCTTAGAGAAAGCGAGAAAATTTTAGCCTCGTCTTATCGGTTACAACGGTATTTGACTGATAAGGAAAACTTTGAATTGGAGAAATTTATCAAAGTTGCGAAAGCTACTTTTCCGAAATTTACAGCAGCAAGGTTTTGTTTCATCGACAGGAGCACTTTATACAAAATTTTTGAGACTGTTAGCACAGTTTTGATTATCATGATTCAGTTCAATGGTGACCTAAACCAAAAATAATAACTTTTTTACCAAAAAAACTCGAAATAAATTTGATTTGGATAAATTTAATCAGTCAAATATTTATCAAGAGATAAGAGCGACTTGGCGAATTACTTACTTCAAATAAATTTTATAAAATATTAGGTTTGGTTGTTTGTGTTTTTCTCTGAGCTAGAATGACCCAAAAGGTAAATAGCAATTTTTGTCAATTTTAATTTAGTTCTATTTTTTTTTATTTTCAAGATACAGAGTGGTGTTGTAAATTTGGGATCAAAATACGAAGAATTATTCCCCGCAAAATTCGCCCTCAAACTTCTCAGAGACCCAAATGTCGAAGATTTCAATTTTGTCTTAAATTACTGCAGTTTCAAAAAGTTTGATGATCTCGTCGTGAACATAAAATACAAAAATTGTGTTGAAAACTTTGCCATTCAATTAAAACACCGAGAAACTGGAAGAGATGTAATCGGAGTTGAAGAACTGGATGATAAAGGCAAGAATTTCATCATTTCGAATTTCTCAAACGCTTATAAAACATTAGACTCGGAAAAACAACAGAGTTACAAATTTATTTTATTTACAAACGCAAAATTCGAAAATCTTGACAAGTCAAAACCTTACCAAATTGAAAAAATTTGTCCACCATTTAAAACCAAAATTTTTGCCACTGATGGTATTGTGTACAAGTTTAAGAAAAAAGAGCCAAGACAAGAGGAGTTTTTCGAAAAATTTTTTCTCTGTTCTGGTCAAAAAAATGTGGAAGGATTGCGAAACGACATTGTGACAATTTTCGAAACCGATTTCTTTTTATCGAAAGATGTTGCCACCCGAATTGCCACTTGCTACGAATCATTTTTCGCCGATTTACATCAAAAACAGTTTGACAACACCAAAATTGATAAAAATACAGTTATTTTAAAACTAATAGATTTGATCTTAGAGGATTATATCATATATTCTCCCCTGTCTGAAAATTTCGACGAAAAAACTGCATTATTTGCCAAAGCTATTAAAACAGCAGACGTGACTTGTTTACTTCAAATAAATGATAAAGATCGCAATTGCAAAAATGCGGATTTAGATAAAGAATTGCAAAAGATTGCTACACAACATAAGCTTATATTTCCCAACAAAAAAACGGAAAGTAAAAAAAATACCCGAATTTTATCGTACTTTAAAGAAAAGCCCTTGTTTGTTAGAACAGATAAAGACACCCAAAAAACCATCTTATCTCTAATCAACTTATCGCAAAATTTATACAATAAAATAAAATTCGTTTTGGTTGGCAAATTAATTGGAACTGTAGAAATCACAACAGAGAGAATTTTTACAAACTTGTCCGACTTGAAAAAACTTGATTCAAGTCTCTACGACAAAATCACCAAGAGATTTAAAATCAAGTTTCAAGGACGCCAAGAAGAGACAATTGAAACGCTTCAAAACACGTTCGGACTTCCCCTGGACGAATTTGTAACCCCAAGTGAGTTATTTGAAGCACTGAAAAAGGATTGGGTTATTACACCAAAAGTTACTGAAGCTTTGCCAAAACCCTTTTTGACACGATTTTTGACAAGAGAACACATCCAAGTGGACAAATTAGACGACAAAACAATAGTGCATTGTGGCGGTCAATCAAAACAATGTAAAGCATATCTTAAAAATTACAGTAAAATTTTAATCACAGAAGAAAAAAATTGCAAGAGTTGTTTCCATCACTTGAAGTTTGGCGATAACAAAATTGAATGGATTGAACGAAAAGTGAGTCCTGACAATCCTGAAATTTTTGATTATCAATTAAGCATCATTTGTGGGAATCCCGGAATTGGCAAGACTACCATGATGAAATATCTCACTTTCAAATGCCCGTTAAATTATTGGGTTGTCAACGTTTCTTTGAAAAAATGGAGCTCATTTTTGAAAAAATCACATTCTGTTGAAGAAATTTTGAATCAATTTCTGACACCTTGTAACAAATTTGCGACAAATATTATGAACTTCCTAAAATGTGAGAAAAAAATTATTTTCTTTTTCGACGGTTTGGACGAATTAAACGACGATTGTATTTCTGGCACAATAAAAACTACTAAACTCCTATTGGAAGAAGGCTACAAATGTTGGATTTCGTGTACAATTCGACTAAAACCCACTTTGAAAACCCACTTTTCCCAATACCAAATCTACGACATTGAGGAAATCGGACAAGAGGAGCAAGAAAATTACATTCGAGAAAAACTACAAAGCGAGAAAAAACCACCGGAATTTATTGAAACACAAATCAGGAAAATATCAAAAGCCAATGTTGATATTCTTAAATTCCCGATTTGCTTATACATCCTCACCGAAGTTTTAACAAAATCTGACACCGATTTTGAGGATAATCTCTCATTGTTACACTTGTACGAGTGTTTTATTGATGCTAGACTGCAACACGAGTTAGAAAAAGCTCACTATGACACCAGACAGGATAACTTAAAAGTCCCTATGAAAACTTTCAAACATTTCCACATTAAGGAGTGTCAAATCGCGGCTTTACGGACATGTCTTGAACCCAGCCACTTCGATTTACTGAAAGTCACAAATGAGGCGTTTTTTGTTGAAACCTTGAGACAAAACGGTGATTTCTTGAAACTCATTTCTGAAGTGAATTCAAAAAATCGCTTTGTTTTCATACATTTCACGATCGCTCAATATTTCGCAGCGACTTGGTTGAAGAACAATGTTAAGGAAATTTCAAAGTGGCAATTTCTCTTCAAACCTCAATATATTGGAATCAGATATTTTCTCAATGTTCAAATGGCTGAAAATTGTCCTTTGCATTTGGCTATTTTGAATCAAGATCTTTCAAATGTTGAAAAGTTAGCCAAAGAACATTTGAATGATTTGGATAAGGGCGGGAGAAGTCCGCTACATCTTGCATCGTCAATTGAGACCAAGCACCCAATTTCACATTCCGGGGAAATACAGAATCGGATTTACTTCAAAGACAACGTCGAAGAGAAGATTCTTCAACTATTACTAGATTTGAACGTTAATGCTTTACAAAAAGATGAGTTGTTTAGGTGGAACGCGTTTGAATACGCCGATGCGTCTCTTTCTTTATCTTCTCTGGAAGCACTATCGAAGAAAGAAGATCTCAAATTAGAGTATTTACAAAATTACAACGAGTTGGAAATCTTGGCCGAAAACTGCATCAAATTTGGTTACTTTAACCTTTTAAAATCATTAACAAATTTGAAAAGTTTATCAGATTTGGACAAAAACGAAAAATCGCTTCTTCACCAAGCTATCGAAAATCAACAAGAAGAAATCGCAGTTTTTTTAATCGAAAAAGGAGCCAACTTAGACCAATCACTTTTGCACCCTGCTACTTTTTGGGGTTGCACCAAAGTGGTTCAACTCCTCCTAAACCGAAATATTGAAGTTGATATAAAAGACAGTGAAGACAAAACTCCACTTCACTGGGCTGCCAAACTCGGCAACACACACATTTTACAACTCCTCATCGACAAATCAGCAAAAATCGACAGTACAGATGTACGAAAAAGAACACCATTACATAAAGCCAGCTATATGGGAAAAAATCAAGCCGTCAAAATTTTACTCAAAAATAACGCTAATGTCAATTTCAGAGACAATGACGACAAGACTCCTCTACAAAGAGCTTCAGATATGGGACATTATGAAACGGTTAAAATTTTAGTCGAAAGTTGTGCTGATATTAACGCTATTGATAAGAATAAAAGAACTGCTTTGCATTATGCTGCTTTTGAGGGACATTTCCAAGTCGTCGAGTATTTGGTCATGGCAAAAATTGATGTTACAGCTCTTGATGACGACGGAAAAACGGCCCTAGACCTAGCGCAAGAAAAAGGACACAAAAAAATCGTACAAATTTTACAAAAATCACAAAACAAGAGGTAAAACCAAATAATTATTTTCTAGCTGAGTTTATCCAAATTTTCTTTTTGTTTTAGTTATAATCCTGAAACTCACCATGAAAACGAACTACACTATGCTGCAAAAATGGGCAATTTGTCAAAAATCGAACAACTGTTGAATTCTGGTTTCAACATCGAAGAAACCGACAAGGATGGTCAAACGGCCTTACATCTAGCCTCAATTTCGGGTCATTCCCAAGTTGTCAAGTTTCTTCTTTCAAAAAGCGCATCAAAAACTGCAAAAAACCGCGATGATCGCATTCCCCTACACCTAGCCTCGCAACATGGCCATAAAACCATCGTTGAGTACCTCCTTGACGAAAATATCAACGCATGGGACCGTTGGAAGCTAACTCCTCTTCATAGAGCTGCTTATAAGGGTCACCAAGCCGTCGTAGAGCTTCTAATCGAGTCAAAAGCTGATTTGGAAGCGGCTCAAATTGATGGAGGAACTCCGCTTCACAGTGCAGCATTTGGGGGGCACAATGATATCATTAAATTTTTGGTTGAGAAAGGGGCAAATTGGAAAGCGACTAATAAGAATAAAGAGACTTGTCTACATGAAGCGGCCTTAAAAGGATGCACTGAAACAGTATGTTTTTTGATAAAAGAAAACAAAGATTTGATTAATAAAACTGATTGTCGGGAGCGGACCGCATTGCATTGGGCGGCGGAAAAAGGATACGGGAATATGATTCGCTATCTTGTAGAGGCGGGGGCAGAGGTCGGGATTAAAGATCGTTGGAAGAAGACGGCGTTGGATGTGGCACGAGAGGCGGGAAAAGAAGAAATTGTGCGGTATCTCGAAGGAAAGAAAACTTAAAACATTCAAATGTTTTTTGTCAAAATCGTTTTGTGCATTTTTTTGAGCCTCTATTACCATTACAAGTGCAAAAACGTCATTTCGTACAAATGTAAAATTTCCTATTTTGAAAAAAATTGAATAACTAATGTGTTACTTCTTAGAAAAATCAAAAACATTAATTTTGCAGTAAAAAAAACTTGTATGCTTATCCGCTTATGCTTTTATGGTTCTGTTCTTATGCTTATGCTCTCATATGCTTACTACGTATTTGTTTTAAACTCCGCGCTCTTATGCTCCCGCCATCTTTTAAAGCTTATTTGAATTGTTTTTGAATTGTATTTGAATTTGAATTAGAGAAAAATTGACGACTTTTGCGGGATTCGAACCCCGGAGTTACCCGCGGGAAGTAGTGACCTTCTACGCCACCAAGCTCCCAGCATGTATTCTGCTCTAAGTAGTTTAATATAGTTTAATATTCATATATTTTTTTTTAAATTTTCAATTTTTGTGTTTCTACAATGTTTTATGCACTTTCAGATCCATTGAAGTGCATTTCGATTAATTTTAAAGTTTTTAATTTATAGATTTTTGACAAAATTTTTGTCGAATTTGGATACCCAAAGTGGGTGTATTGTCAATAACTCCGGAATTATTAATAATAGACCCGTATGTTTAGTACCTAAGAAAGCAAATTTCATTTCCTATCATACAAAAAAATATCATTGTCCTAAGATAGATAGTTATTGAGAATATTGCTGATTAAGTCAAAAATATAAAAATATAAATATTCGACTATACCTTCTAAACTATTGCGAATATTTTCTCAACGCCCATCGATTCCCCTGAACATTTTACATACGTATGGTTTAAAACATTAATCATTTTAGATATAATCTTGTCGTAATTTACAAGAAAAAGTAAAAACTATCCCGTATAAAAACGGCCTTTTTGAACATGTCTTTAGATTCAGTTTAAACCTATTGTATCCTGTAGATTTTGACACGCTGATTACGAATCTGTCAGGCTTTTTGCCCTAACTAAATTAAGTTTTACGTAATCGTATTGAAAAAGAAAAAATTGTCAGAATTGTAAGATTTTAAATGTATTTTTCTCAAAAACTATCGGACAAAGGAAAAACCAAATAAACGTTTTATATTTATTATTTAATTTTTCGAACGATTGATCGTTGAGTATTTTAACCGGTTGCATCATCTTCAGTGCGTGATTTCAAGTGAATTATTGATAATCATTTTTTGTTAAACATATATAGAAATTTCTGATCAAGGCTTCGAATTACACTACAAGATTTAACACAAAACAATAGAAACAAAGATATAATTTTAAAAGTTTTATAAACTTTATTTAGACAATTTTTACAATTTTCAAAAATTAAATCCAGTTTCTTTTTGCAAATTCTGTCACAACCAATTCCAACTTCTCTTTATGCAAATCCGAAGA